CACACACACACACACACACACACACACACACACTCACACACACACACACTCACAAACTTTAAAAAAATGTATGAGCTTGTTTCCCCATGAGGACCTCAATTTAGATCCCACAGTGACACGATTCCCCATGAGCCGGTGTAACATGTACACACACACACACACACACACACACAAAACACACACCACAGGACAAACCTGCACTGATCATGTGGTCATTTACTCAACATGCTCCATGAGAATCAAAAATCTTAAAAATCACAACAATCCTGAGGATTTAACCAAAACTGATAACTAAGGTGAAAAAAATGGGTTTTGAAATCAATAATATGAATTAAAAAAAAATTCACTCAATGTAAAATACTGTTGAACTTCATTACAAAATTCAGAATAATGACTTAACCATGAAAATGCTTTGTAATTATTAAATAAAGTAAATAAATATACATATGCTTCACTACTGACATGCAGAAATTTATCATTTTGTTTATTTTAAGGCCAAATTAAATTTATGATGCATGAGAAAGCCACAGAAGTGAAATCAACACAAGTCGTTTGTCATAATAAATGTAATTTTTGAATGGCACTGTATATATTTTATATCATGTGCCCCGTATGTTTTAAGGCTGCTGTTATACAGTCGATCAGCTACAGAGAAACACAGAGGAATAAAACAAACTATCAGCAACTACTGACATAGAGTTAATTTTTTTCCGGATAACCAATAGTACAGAAGAGCAACTATCAGCGCAGTGATGCGATATATCGATCAGCCTCTAGTTAATAGAGTCTGTGTTGATTTCATGTTCACTAAAGGTCCAACAGTCCAGTCTAGGGTTGACGTCAGTGGTCTTGGGTTTACTTCATAATGCTTCATGAGTTCTGTGGTACATTGACACTCACTATTACAGGTCTTCTCAATGTCCCTATGATTCAGGATTCCTCACAGATGTAATATCCAGTAACATGCAGATTAGCCCTGATCAAAACAACTCTGGGTTTAAGACTCAAGCACAGAGTGTGATATTGCAATCCAGAACAAGATCATCATCACACTGGCAATAAACTCGCAGCCGGACAGAAACAGACCCCCAAACAACAGCAGACTGAAGAGCCGTCCTGTGATACTGTTCTGACAAAAATTATACTTTGGACCAACTTAAAATAACACTCTAATTTGTTACAGTTGATTTGTTAAAGTTTGGTTCAAACATTACTTTTTTTTTTTAATTAATCAAAAAACGTATTTTCTCAAAAACAAAAACTTTCATACAAAGAAAAAATATTATCAGTTATTTTCTTCAGATTTTACTTAATGTTGTTCAATATAATATTTTTAGACTTTTAACAACTTAACCATGAACAATATTAGCTATAAAATGAAAGTAGAATTTTCACTTAAGATAAAAGTGAAACATTTTGTTAGTAAATGTTTAATTTAATTCACTTACTAATTAAAGACAACTTTTGAAAGACTTTAATGTGTATTAGTGTGATGTCTTTTAATAAATAAGCATCATCTTTTCTATTATTTTCCCGTTTATTTCTGTGAAGCTGCTTTGAAACAATCTCTATCGTATAAAGTGCTATAGAATAAATGTGAACTGACTTGACTTGTGCTACAAAAAACAAGCACCAAAAAAATGATTAAAACCCAGAATAATTTCTGCAGTAAAGCTGGTTAGTATGTGTTCTGCACATCAACACTGACGTCAAACCAAAATAAAACAAAACCATGATTTTCCATTAGATTTGTTTGATTAGACTCGTATGAGTGTACTGATGAATGAACTATTAAGATTCTCACTCAAACAGCATCTGTGATCATAACAGCCACTGAAGCAGTTCCTTTCCTCACAGCAAACCTCTGCATTTACACAGACCCTAGAAATGAAGTGTGTCAGCCGGTACCTGACGTTATCGTGCCGCTGGATGTAGATCTTGTGGAAGATCCTCTCTGGGGGTTTCAGGAAGTCCTCCTTCATCTCCATGGCCACGTTTCTGGGCAGCAGACTCATCAGCAGACGCTCCTGCACGCGTGCAACCATCATCACAGAGACACGCATGAGACAGCGAGAACTGAACGAGCCTTTCTCAGGAAATACAATTAATATTATACAGTCAATGATATTCAGGGAACCTCTTACCATAACTTAACTAAATGCACGGTTGCACATTTAAAAAACAAAACAGATTTATTGATTTATTTGTTTTGATGAAATTTATTGATTTATTGTTATGATCATTACATAAGCTTCATACTGCATGCTTTTTTATTATATATATATTTTTAAAATAAGTTAGTAACTTAATAAACTGTCAAAATTGGGCAGTGAGTTTCTAGTTCCCAGCATGTTTTGCATTGAACTGGATAATTGTTAGTAATGGGAAAGACTTTTTATATTTCACATTTAAAAGAGTTTCCGCAATGTTGAAGTTTTTATCATTGTGCTGAAGAGTGGAGCTCATGGTTAGGGTTAATGCCAGTGACTATGGAGCGAGATTAGTCTCAATAATAACTTTTGTACACAGTGGTACATCTGTCATTGTGTTTTGTGTTTGTGAAAGGTATATATATATATATATTCTTGTTTTGTGCACGTGAGTTGGTTTTTGCATGTGAATTGTGCTACGCATGTGTGCATTGTGTCTTTTGCGTGAATTATTATTGAGACTAATCTTGCTCCATAACTGAAATAGACAAGATTAATTGGTTCCGCTACCAGCACTCAGTTAGCTGGAACAACTTAATTGTTTTGAGTAATCAACTTTGTGTTTATTCAGTTCCAGTTATTTAGTTAACTAGTTCAGTTTCAAAAATATACAGATTATTTATTTCCTCTGCTCATGTAGTTTGTTATTAGAAGTTGTCATAACTCAAAAAAACTCTGTGCAAACTTTTGTGTGTTTCCTATTGAGCCAAAACATTTTTAAAGTGTCATTCTATATACAGGAATCCACTGAAGGTTTGATTGTTTTTACTGTATATATATTAAGCGCGTGACCTGTTTTTCGTTCTCGTCCTCCATGCGCAGTCTCTCCTCGATGCAGTTTCGGGCCTGAAGGAAGGCTCTGCGCTGCGCTCTCTCCGTCAGCATCCGCACAAACAGACCCGACAGATTCACACTGGTGAAGAGCAGAGTGTTTGCAACCAGCTGAGAAACACAAACACAACAGCACTGAAACCATAATCACTGACAGCACACAAGATATGTAAGATATAATAAAAGACTGGTTTAATATAGATGCTGTCTGTGAGCTTCCACAGCGTACAGCTATGGTCGAGTGTGACTGATGGATAGATGTAGTTTAGTTGTGTTTAGAGCATGAAACGTGTTTTTACATTATGACTGTCCCTACAGTTTTATGCACAGTCCGTGTGCTTGTGTGGCAACTCTTCTGACGTGTGTTTGTCCTCTTCAGTGAGCTCAGAGCTGGTTTTGTGTTCGCTGCAGGTCGTAGAGTTCAGGGATGTGAGTCTATCTGCTCTTTATTGGATTAGATTTGTCAGAGGACATGCACACCGAGCCTTTATTTAGCCGGCCTTGCTCTCTCTCACATGCTGAAAACTCACTGATTTGCACACAGACCAACAGGGCTGAAGCGAGCGGAGGAGACTTCACATGGAACACATTTTTCCATTGCACTGCACTGCTTTTCCATTGCTTTTCTATGCAAACATGTGGTAGATGAACATCTTTGACCACTGCGCTCACGTCTCGTGTCTTTTGCAAAAACAAAGTGCTGAAATAAAAAAAGTTCAACTTTTAAAAAACATCTCTTGAGACCTTGCATTTTCCTCCATGCCACTGGTGTCTCGTGTTTTTCAAAGCAAAGCAGGTTCTGTGCGAACAGCCCCTTTCAGCAGAAGTGCTGTGTGTTTCTGTCTACTTTCTGAAGGCATCAGGATGACAAGATTTGGCAACACATTTAAAGCGCACAGTCCCACATACTCAACCTGCTCTCATTCGAGAATAAAACAATCAGATCTACCCATAAACAGTGATTTAAGCAGTTATTGTTCAGGTAGCTGAACTTGCTGAACTGCTGTTCCATCATGATGCAGTTGATCTGAGAGAAGAAACGGAACGTCTATAAAACACTGACCATCTAAGCATGCTCACATGAGAGAAATTTCATCAGGCAAAAAAGGTCCATGGCCTACTTTCAATAGTGTAGCACAAAATGTATGAAACGAAGCAGCTGTGTTTTGGTCAGTGCAGCAAATTTGCATGACCAGCTGAACCCGATGTGAAATCTGCGTGTGGAAAGCTTTTGCCCTCATCTGAAATTAACAACTGCATGGATTCCTATTGAAATGAATACATTTCGTCAGTGAAAAATAGACAATGCATGGTACATGTGACCATAACTTGACACGTTATGTGTTACAATTTGAACTACGCTCTGAAACGTTTCATTACACAACTGTCGGTGAAACTGAGCGTGAAATGAAGCATCAGTGTTCAGTAATGAGTGACGCAGCAGCATTACACATACCTTAAAGAACTATTTCTACCTGAGTCAACCCATTAAAATGAGTTTTGTCATTATAATCATTATAAATTAATGTATTTAGGTTCATTCACTAATATTAAATAATATGTCCCACATGCAGGAGACGGATTGCGTGATCTTCACACAGCGCTGGTCTCTAAGCCTAACTCCACACCTAACGCAGTCTGTGAATCCTGTCCAGATCATCCGTACAGAGCATCCTCCTCATTTCTGTGCTAAAATAGCTTTCAGAAGTGTGTCTGGCCTCCGTTCAGAGCCGTCCTACATAGAGCCGCTCCGCTGCTGGTCTCTGGACCTGACGCTCCTCAAACACACACAGGAGAATGTGTGACGACCATCCGACTATCAGAGCCACTGTGGAGGACTTTATAGATACTGTATGAACCTGCAGCACACATTCTCTGTGTCTTATTACAGTCTCAGTCTCAGCATCTTAAGTGTAAATTCACTGTTACAGCTGTTCATTCATAAACTGTATTTGAGCTGAATCAGCTCTGTGGCTCAGCATTAACACTCATGTCAAACTGACCACATTCTGTCCTGCACCTAATGAAACCCAGCCCACAGACATTATTACAGATTTAACCTTTCAGAAGGTGATTGATAGCAACACTCTTTCTGTTTAAAATCAGTCTGACTGCAATAAATCAAACACTGCAGAAAATACAAATGGCAGCTAAGTCAGATTTTTTTAAGTTAATAAATTAACTGTAGATTTAGATTTATTTAGATTTTTATTTTTTTGCACAGGCATGTTTATGCACTTAACTTGAAATATTAAGTAAGCAAATCATACAACTTGATTGCATGGAGTGATTCACCTGTTGTTTTAAACAGAAACATAATTCTCTTGCTAATCATGTATCACAATGTGAAACACACTGAAAAAACTGGTGTAGGATTGACTTTGTATCAACTTTCACTCAGAAATTTCACACACTATTATAAAGAAATGGCTAGTAACACATTGAATAGAATGTGACAGAGACTGAAATAGTATTATCTTGTCAAATTTAAGTGCAAAATGATTGCACTTTATTAATCTGAATTATGTTTCATGTAGAAACATCTGCTCAAGTTAAACGGTTTAAGTAATTTTACTGGTGACATGAGGCCTATCTATGCTCTTAACGCTCATAATGCATCAGGTATATTTTTGGCCCAGAGGAGCTACATAAAAAAAAAAAAAAAGATAAAACAAAAAAAAAATGCACGGCTTTAAATAAGGGAACGAAACTTTGCAAATCCTTTAAGACCCTCAAAATACACATCTTCTTTTCATATAACCATTTAAAAACATGTTACATGTTTCATGTTCAGGTCGCCCGGATATGTATGAAGTCTCATTAGGTGTCAAAAATAGTTTCTGTAAAAGTTATATTCATGTCAAAAAAACTTTAGTAAAATGCCTTTTCCCCATATCTCACACACCTTTGGGACTCAACTTTGTTGAACCATTGCAGTGCATGAAAACTTCAGCAGTTTACTGAAGGTTTATGCAATCAGAATGAAGTTATTTCGTTTGAAACTTTTAAGAGTAATATTTATGTTGTTTTGATGTTGTTTAGTTACAAATAAACATTAGTTAATGTTATAGTAAGTTTGTTGTGTGTTTTTGTCATTTGTGTCTCGATGCCTGTTCTGTGTCTGGGTGTTTTGTAAGGACTTTTATGTTGAAATGTATTCTTAGTTTCCTTTGATTCATGCTTCCTTCCTGTGTTTGGTTTCTGTTTCTCTTGTCTTGTTAGTTACTATGGTTCCTATGATTAGACACACATGTAATCAGTTCTCTGTGTGTATAAGCCCTTGTGTTTCAGTCATGTTTTGCCAGTCGTTGTTTTCAGTTGTCGGTGTGCTTGTTTCACTTGAGGACTCCTTTGTGCTCTTATGGATTTTTTGCTTGTCTCTCAGTCTGGACTATCTGTGTTTAGACCTGTTATTAAAACATGCGTGCAACTGATTCTCGCTCTTTGCCTCGACTTTTAAGAGTAATATTTATGTTGTTTTGATGTTGTTTAGTTACAAATAAACATGTAGGTTTCATAAATTTGGACTGTTTTTGAGCAATCATGAGTTATAAAGTCAAATTTAATTAAATTATATTCATTCCAGTGGGGTTAATACTGTAATTCTCCGATTTTACAGTGATATATTCCAATAAAATTTCCCATCAATATTGAAAATATATATATTTTGCATCATAGTTTGTTTGGTGTGGTTAATGTGTAATTTGACATTTCAAAGAATTTCTCAATTTTTTAAAAATTAATAAAAACAAATGGGTAAGTGCAGTAAAATCATGGTAACTTTTCAAAACTTTTTTTTTTCACATTCACTCACTGATGAGAAGCGGCTGATCAGATACAATATGGGTTCAGTTGAAAAACATTAAATTATGACTGAATGATTAAATAACGACTCTTCGGACTTCGAAAGCACTGTGAGGCTTAAGTAACCCGGAGTCTGATCGCTGTCCAGTGCTGAACTCACCGCTCTCCACAGCCGCTGCGTCTTCGCCGTCACCGACGCCGCCGTGACGATGGTGTGCGACAGGGACACCAGCAGCCCGAACAGCACCGCCAGCAGCGTCCGCACCGGCAGCAGCGCGTACGCCACGAACGTCAGCAGCAGCAGCTGCCACACGCCCTGCTCCGGACCCGCGGCGCCCGACACGTACGGGAACGGGCAGCACAGCACCGAGAAGGTGAAGCAGAAGAGCAGGCTCAAGTGCGCGATCTGCTGCAGCTGGCTCACCTGCAGGTACTTGACGTTGGTGACGATGAAGAGCGAGATGAAGATGACGAAGTGCACCGGGTACGAGCCCTTGGCGATGGTGAGGCTGGCGCCGGACAGCAGCAGCTCCAGCAGGCTGAGGCTGGACGACAGCAGGATGAGCACGGACAGCGCCTTCAGCGTGCAGGTCTGGTCGAGCTTCAGGTTGTAGTTGTGGAAGAGCGACTCGAGCTCCTTGCAGTCGAACTCGTCCTCGCACGCGATGACCCCGGGCGGGCAGTGGCTCCTCCTGCGCCGGGTCTTGACTTTCTGGAACGGCATTTCGTCCATAGCGGGGGGGCCATTCACGCGCCGGACAGGTGCGGCAGAGGCGCGGAGGGTCGCCGGGGGCCGGGGGGCATGTCCGGCGGGAGAGGTAGAGCTGAAGAGACGGAAGCGACTGGCCTCGAGCTGGCGCGGCTCAGACTGGATCACGCCTGCGCGATGCGGCTCGCTAATTCTGCTGATTGACACGCGGATCTCGCGCTGAGCTTCAGCGAAACAGACACACGAAGTGTAACCCACTGCGGATCATTCGGCAACGAGCAAGGACAGGAATGCACTAAGATAGGTTTGCACTAGGGTTTATTAGGAATTTATGATTTCGGTCGCATCGTTTCGTCCTTGACCCAAAGAATGACGATAAATCAAAATGTAAGATTTTATGTCACATGCACAGTTACATATGTAACACAATCTTAAGTAAAATATGGTTACAATTTATTCTAAGATGACGTTGTTACTACACACATTATTACTGAGTAATATGAATGTGTTGCCTGGGTTAGGGTTTGATTTAGGGTTAGTTGCTTGTAAGGGCATGTCACGTGTGTAACAAGGACACTGTAAACTAAAGAGTTACCAAAAATAAATCAATATGAAAATATGTAACAAATCTGATAAATGAACATTTGATGGTTTGTTACACTTTATGTTAAGGTGTTGTTGTTGCAGTGTACGTGTAACTATGTCACTTTAATGTAAAACGTTACCTGTTGCATATTTCTCAATATGTAATTCTCTTTCACGCTAAGTTATTAAACTATTAAAATACACCTGTTGGGCGTTTGCACTCGTTCTGTATTGCGACTCTTTGCCACATGTTGGAATAATACTGCAAAAATCACACAAGAGGAATCTTTGCAGCGTCATCTTCTGTCGCTGTGTGCCTCACATGACTTTGTGAATTATGAGTTCATTCTCTGAAATTCATGCACTATTTGTCTACAAACCCAATGTTCAAGCATCCAATCAGAAGCTTTCAGCAGGTTTCTCTGCACTGATGATCCAGAGGCTCAATCAGTGTGATATTGATATGTGTTCAGGTGTATGAAAACACCGTCCCTCTGTGATTGCCACCTGTTCTTACAACTGCCTCACCTAGCTTGAAAAATCCCCTCAGCAGGTTCAAGTGCTGCACTTAAGGGATGCTATAAATAGTGCTGTCACTGCAGTGGTGTGAAATACGTGACATGAACACAGACGAGTCTGTTTTTATTCCCTCTGTTGCATATGTATGATTTCTGTTGCTAAACAGAGGCTGGAGAATGATCTGTGCAATATAAACCCACCAGTCTCACATTCATATATTTTTAGATTGGAAATGTATTTTCTTGCCCCTTCAAGTACATTTTGCAATATATTTGAAGGTTAATATAGAAGAGAACAGCGCAACATCCGGCTGATGTAGAAAACATGACATGAAATCAAAGCATGAGTGAGTCTGTCTGTGTTCATTCTGCTGCAGCTCACTTACACAAATCAGAAGCATAGAAACATCAAATGTGTTGTGGCCCAAAATATAAACAAACAAATAAATGAATTAATCTGCACAGATTAACCCCAGTGTTCAGCATGCATCTGACGATTAGTGGCATTCATTCGTTTGGATATAAAAGTAAGATACAATATATAATAAAGATACAAAAGCTAAATTAGCTGTAATATGGAAGTATAATTTTCACTAAAGATACAATAAACCATTTTGTTAGGCAGTGTTTAATTTAGTTTACTTACTATTAATAAAGTCAAACTTCAAAGACTTTAATATTTTTGTGATGTATTTTTTCTGTTATGTACTGTTACATATAAATAAATAAATAAATAAATACATACTGCAATGATTTGTGTACATTCAGGATAATACTTTTTAAACAAAATTGTTTCTTTTCATTTTTATCTCTATGTGAGTGTTCTTTGCTTTTAGCCAAACTGGACCAAACCGGTTTAAACGGAAAACCATGATTTTTTTATAAGATCAATATGAAAAAGCACTTCAGATAAATGACACGGTTGTGTGACTTTTTTCAGGTGTCTTTAGATAAAGATGAACATGTGGCTTTCCGTCCATCACAGAGATATAAATCACCACTAAAGGGTTAATCCAGCCAAAATGATCACATGTATTATCACATCTGATCATCTCACATCTGCAGGATTTTCTCAGTGATCTAGTATGCAAATCAAATCAATAATTACAACAGGCAGAGTCATCACTTCAAAATGATCACAATTATTACCTGTCTGAATGCTTGAACAGTTTCAACACTTTCTCATGAGTTTAGAAAGATTCAATGCACCTGTAATTCAAAGCAAAACACAAAAGACATCAGATGTTCAGAGGACAAAAATTATGTTTTTCCTCATCATGGAACTGAACAGGACAGACAGTTATTGTTATTTTAGTATCATTGAGATACTGAGGTTTTGGAATATGTCTATATAGCTTTTATTTCAGTTTGAGTTATTTTAGTACATCAAGTTAAACGAAATGAAAATGAGAAATGTTGCCTAGGTACCTAGCTGAATTTTTTTTATTTCAGTTAACATTTTAAGTAATTTTTAAAAAATGGTTTTAGTTTTAGTTAAATATAATATCCCTGCTTTGAGGTTTTGTGTCCTCACCTCTGTTTACAACTTACTCTTGCTTTATTGGCAAAAATACACATTGTTAGTGAACAAAATAAGTGGTTATTAAAGCTAGTATTTGTCTTTAGTTATGCTACTTTATTGTATATATTTAATTGCTATGTATTCACATTCAGGTATTTTTAAATGTAAGTAAATCATAAAAACACGAGACACTTGATATAAAGGAGGTCATTAAAAGATTTTTGTACATGCATTTATTGTGTTAAGTATTTATTTTGTTATTCTAAAACAGTGAACAAATGAGAAAAATCCTTGAACAAACACATGAAGCGTAGGCTAAGAATGGAAGCATTCAACAGTTGAAACAGAATCGTGAGAACTGCTCATTCAGCAGTGATATGCAGTCAATCCTCAGTGTGGTTCACATGAGTTCATGTGGATGTGTTTCTGCAGCTTTATTTGTTTGCTATCCGCTGCAAACACTGACACACTGAAGAGCTCACACAGGCTAAAAATATCCTGAGCTTTACTCTAAATCATTTGTGAGGTTTCCTCTGAACAGCTGAGGATTAGTGATTCCCTCGAGAGCTTCAGCATAAACACACGGATCAGCTTGAACGACCGCACGGCAGAAACCACAGCAGTCCTGATGGACGTGTCAGCATTCACATATGACAATGGTGACAGTGCACCCCCTCCGGCAAGGTGCGACCTCACACCGTAACTAAATAAGAAGCAAAGGGAGGGATGGAGGGGGCTTTGGAGGTGGGCGATGAGATGTGATGAGGTGAAGTGATGGTAGCAGGATGTGGCCAGTGGCTGATGACAATCCCCTGGCAGCAAAGATGGAGAATGTACAGACCCAGGGCTCACCAATGCCAACAGCCCACGGCAGAGTCAAAGGCGGGAGGAGCCAAGATGTTGTAGTGGCTGCCGACATTTGGGGGACGGCTGATGGAGCTGAGCGCCATTGCTGGTCCTGGAGACCCAGGCGATGCAGTGGCGATGAGTGTCCGAGGCAGAACTAGAGTACCCGAGGACAGCAGACAGCCCGTAAGTTGGTAGCGGAAGTAGAGTGACGACTGACCAAAGGAGAGCCAGTGGGACAAGCAGAAGTAGAGTGACGACTGACCAAAGGAGAGCCGGTGGGACAAGGGAACCCAGTGAAACCGCAAGGCCGAGGATCTTTGGAGGAGCCGAAGGTGGGAGGAGCCAAGGCAGAGCCGACAGATAAGATAGGCCGAGATGGAGCAAAGTGAACAGAGGTTGAAGGTCACGCTTCTGGTGGTTGCACGACCTGAGGCTTGACGTCATGGCAGGACATCCCCAGAGACGGTGAAGGGCTTCAAGCTTCCAGCAGCAGTGGGGCAATGTGAATCTTGACAGGATAACAGTACAGTCCATGCAGGTCGATGAAATGGTTAAATCATAGTCCATATCATTCTCAGTGCTGTCCTTAAATCATCTAAACCAACAACATGTATGTTAGACCCTATTCCATCTAAGCTCCTAAAAGAGGTGCTTCCAGAAGTCATAGATCCTCTTCTGAATATTATTCATTCATCAATGTCTTTAGGATATGTCCCCAAAACCTTCAAATTGGCTGTTATTAAGCCTCTCATTAAAAACACACAACTTGATCCTAGAGAATTAATTACAGACCAATCTCAAATCTCCCTAAAATATATCCATTCATTTCACTGAAATAGATGTATAAAAGTTGACTTTGACCGCCAGATGAGCAGAGGGTTAATGAGCAAAAGCCAGTTCCTCATCCTGCAGCTGCTTTCAAGTTGGCAACTCATATTGATTATGATAAATGATCATTAGAGCACATTATTGTTTCACAGCAGGTCACGTGTGTTCAGTGGCTGATTTCAGTCTGTCAGTGATTCAGTGGAAACTAGAGGCTGCTGTGACTGTCAGCGTGTGTGGGACGATCAGAGACACAAAAATACACTCCAGTCTTCTGTGGCACAGATACAACCAGAGACGAGGGCTGTGTGTGTGTGTGTGTGTGTGTCTGTGTGTGTGTGTGT